TGGGGTCAAGGGGGATTGGGGGCAGGGGGGTGAACTGGGGGCAGGGATCAAGGGGTCAGTAAGGGAAGGGGTTATTTGGGGGATAGGGGGTCACTTGGGGTTCAAGGAGGAGTAGAAGGCAGGAAGGACTTTTGAGGGGCAGGAGGGAGTTGGGGGACAGGGGGCAGCTGGAGGGGTCCTGTCCCTTGTATCTGGTGGGGAGGGGCTCAGAGGGGCACCCTATGGGGCAGAGCCCCCCACTTACCACTTGCACTTGGAGGGCAGCCACGGCCACGCCGTGGGGCAGCACTTGGGGCAGGAGGACAAAGGGCGTCACCTGCGTTTTGGGGCTGCCCGGGGTGGGGGCGCTGAGAAGCTCCACCTGTGGGGCAGAGTGGGGGGTCAGCGAGGGCTGTGGGGCAGAGGGATGGGGGGGTCACTCAGGGGGCTCACCCGATAGTGGTGCCGCAGTGTCTTGTTGTGGGGCTGGGGGGGGGGTGAAGTTGAGGTGGGGGGTGGAGTCTTCTTGCCTGTGTGTGGGGCAGGTGGGGATCAGTGGGGCCCAGATGCCTGGGCCCCCCCAAATCCATGGAGCGGGAATGTGTGGGGCTCACCAGGAGGCCACGAGGTTGAGGACAAAGTGGACGGGGACATCCCAGGATTTTGTGTTGTCCCCAAGGGTGATGTTGGGCTCGTTCTCGCTGTGGGGCAGGTAAGACCCACAGGTGTCACCTCCCTGCCCCACAGCACTCCACGGACCCATTCCCGCCCCACGGATCCCACCTGCTCACAGTCGCCATCAGCCCCACGGATTTCTCCCACGTGGCATTTTGCTGGAGGTCAAAGGTCACCTCCACCATTACCTGGCGTTGGGCAGAGTTGGGGTGACTCGGGGGGCTACCCCACAGCGACCCCCGGCCCCAGGGCGTGGCCCCACAGATCTCACCTGCCAGCCAGCACGGAGGATGGGGTAGCTGAGGTTGCAGGAGAGGCCCCACGGCTGCCCCTCGGCGCCCTGGGCGTCCCAGCAGGTGATGGGCACCGGGGCAGAGGCCTGGGGGGAGGTGGGGGGCTGGGATCTGTGGGCCCCAAACCCCCATGTCCCTCCCCTGCCCTCCCTCCCCCCCATATTTTGGGGTCCCCATGTGGGGCACCTCACATACCTGGCTGGCCCGGGCCCACCGATAGGAGACCCCTGGGGGGTGCTGCACTTGTAGGGCCGCCTTATAAGCATCTTCCCTCCTGTTGTCCACAATCAGCTGAACCCTCAGTTCGGCACTGGGAACCCCCAAAACAGCTGCGTCCCCCGGCACCTCCCTGACCCCCAAGTCGGCTTCGCACACCTCATCGTCCCCACAGTTCTGCTCGAAGGGGATCTATGGGGCAGGGAAAGAAGGGGGTGGGTTAATTTGGGGGGACCCCACCCATCGTGCCCCACATCCCAGCACCTCTGTGGTGTTACCTCGACCCAGGTGGGGCCAGTGCTGGGGGGCAGGATGGGCCCTGGGGGGTCCGTGTCGGGCAGCGCGATGGTGACACTGGCACGGATAGGGGTGACAAAGTCCTCGAGGCAGGGCTGGGGCACAAGGCACATAAGGTTGGGGGGCACCCTAGAAGTAGGGGGTAACACCCCAGCCACACTCTGGAAGTGTGGGTCCTCCACACCCAAAACTACGTTCTTCCCCTCAAGTACTGCTTCCCCTCTGCCCCCCAAGTGTGGGTCCTATCCCCCAGATGTGGGTCTCACCCCCACCCCAAAGTTGGATCCCATCCCCCAAGTATGGGTTCTGCCTCCCAAATTGTGCGCCCCACCTCTACCCCAAAGTGGTATCTCACCCCCTAAATGTGGATCTTGCCCCCAAGTGCGGATCCCACCCCTCCACGTGTGGATTCCTCCCCCACAAATGTGTTTCCCTCCCCCCAAGTGTGGATCTCGCCCCCCCAAGTGTGGGTCCCACACCCCAAGTATAGGTCCCACCCCCCCAAGTGTGGATCCCACCCCTCCACGTGTGGATTCCGCCCCTACAAGTGTGGATACCTCCCTACCAAGCGTGGATCGTATCCCCATCAAGTGTGGATCATGCCCCCTCAAGTGTGGATCACACCCCCCAAGAGTAGGTCCCACCCCTAAGTGTGGATCCTGGCCCCAGGAGTGGGTCCCTACCAGCACCCTCAGTTCCTTGCTCTGGCAGCTCAGCCCTGGCTGCATCTCCCCGTCCCAGCTCCGCTGCCCCTCCCCGAAATCCCCCCGACCTTGTGCCCGCTGCGGGTCGACGTCCACCCGGAAGGTCACGGGGGTCAGCAGGTCACCTGGAGGTCAGTGTCAGGGTGAAAAGTCAGTAACCCCCACAGCACCTCCTGGAGCCCCCCCAGGCACCCCTCCCTGGACCTGGGCGGTGCAGGCAGAGCTGGAGGGTGACAATGGTGACAATGGTGACATCGGAACAGTGGACCCCACGGGTTGAGATCACGGGAGGGTCAAAGGTCAAGTTGGTGGTGACCCTCAGCACTGGACGGGTCCTGCAGGGGAGGGGACATGGGGGAGGGGACGTATCAGGGGTGGCACTGGCTGTGTCAC